ATATATATATATATATATATATATATATATATATATATATTCATACCAAGATTTTTACAACTTCAAAGATCGTTTTAAGGTTTTGATTTACCGCTGTGAGAAGGTGGTGCTGATGTAGCAAAATAAAGCTTCTTGTGCATTTCTCAGCAGAAAAGCTCATCTGGTAATCTCTGGTGACTTGTTTCTGTCATTGCTTTGTCATCATCGCCCAGATGACACTCGTGTCAAACGGTCCTGCGGGAGCCTGCTCTGTGATATGTGTGCGCGCGTCTGTGTTTGTGTGTACGGGGGCGGGGGGTGTATTGAGGTTAAGGGGAGCTAATTTCACGCCTTTTTATTTGCCCGGGTCTCAGGAGAGAAACTCTCCATAAGCATTATCGCTTCCAGCTGGTTCAAATGGGACAGACGGGACAGGACCAATACACTCTTTTGTCTTTGCCCCACTCCTGTTTTATGTGTTGATGCCTTCAAGCACAAAGTCAGGTACATAAAGAAGCTTTTTTTTTCTCCAGCGGTGTAGTAGGGAGACATAAAGAAGCTCAACTGTAGGCTATACTGAACTCAAACGCTGAGATTCCAACCCTTCATTTGTTTTACTGTTAGACATTTTGTTAGTTTTATGACCTTACATAACAGCAGAGGCAGTGGTGCAGGCTTATTTTCAAAGAATTATTAAATAAGTCAAGTCAAATTTATTTCTAAAGCACATTTAAAACATAAACTATTACCAGAGGGCTTAAAAATCACAGCATCAAGTAAAAACTGACGCGATATAATTTAAAGCATCAATAATAAAAACAAAACACAAACACAATGAGAAACAATGTGATAATAAATCCGATCATACTGTGTTCTTTGTTATTCGCATCACATGTGGTACATGAGGTGGAACAAAATTGTGGACACAGTTACATCCAACAACAGCAATAAAAGTGTAAAAAATAAACTGTAAATAAGGATCTAAGATAAAAACTAAGATATATATACTAAACAAACACCAAACGGTACGCTAAAAGATCTAAGATATACATTAGTCACTAATGGTGCAAAACGATACACCGAACAGCAGCACGAACATGAGTCTTTGTGGGTGGATGAGTATGAATGAATGAAGTCAGCAGCATGAAATAATCAGCAGCATGGATAATCAGCAGCACATATCAACAATCAAAGTTGCATTACAGTGTTTTTTTGGTTAATACAGGTGCGTTTTCAGGAGAGATTTAAAAGCAAGGACTTAAGTGGCCTGTCTACTGTCGATGGGCAGATTGTTCCAAAGTTTAGGACCAATGACTGAAAAAGCCCGATCTCCTTTGAGCTTCAAACTGGTTTTTAGTACAACCAAAATCAGCTGGTCAGATGATCTCAGCGCCCGAGAAGGAGCTTAAGGATGAAGGTCAGAGAGGTACGCAGGTGCAAGGCCGTTAATGTACTTAAAAGTCAACAGGAGAATTTTCAAATCAATTCTGACATGCACAGGGAGCCAGTGAAGGGAAGACAAAACCAGTGATATATGCTCAAGTCCACGAGTTCCTGTCCATAACCAAGCTGCAGCATTTTGGATGAGCTGGAGACGTGAAAGAGAAGCCTGTCTGACTCCAACAGAAAGTGTGTTACAGTAGTCCAGCTGGGTTGCAACAAATGCATGGACTAAATTTTCAAGGTCATATCTGGTCAGCGCGGACTTAAGCTTAGCTATCTGCCTTAATTGGAAGAAGCTTTTTTGAAGAATAGAGTTAATCTGTTTATTTAACTTAAAGTCCGGTTCTAAAACCATCCCAAGATTTGTAACAGACTGCTTAAGATAGGGCTGAAGAGAGTCTAGATTAACGGGATCAGTGACAGTGGTCAAGCTAGGGCTAAACACATTGACTTCAGTTTTCTGATCATTACAACTTAAAAAATTTGAAGCTATCCGTGCCTTGACATCATCAAGACATTTTAACAGAGGGCGAATGGAGCTGGAATTGTTGAGTTTTAAGGGCAGATGAATCTGTCAGTCTTCTGCATAACAATGAAACAAAAGACCATATTTCCTCAGGATAGACCCTAAGGGGAGCAGATACAGTGAGAACAGGAGGGGCCCAAGAATGGAGCCTTGTGGGACCCCGCAGGAAAGAGGCACAGAAGCAGATAAACTATTACCAACATTAACACAAAAACTCCTAACATTCAGATATGAATGGAACCATTCTAATGCTGCACCCATAATCCCAACCCAGTGTTCTAACCGCAATAAAAGGATACTGTGGTCAACAGTGTCAAAAGCAGCAGTAAGGTCGAGGAGTACAAGGATTACAAACTGACTAGAATCATTCGCTAGAAGAATGTCATTACAGACCCTTACCAAGGCTGTTTCGGTGCTGTGTGATTGTTTAAAACCAGACTGAAAAATCTCAAAAATTCCATTTTCATTCAAAAACTTGTTTAAAGTTGTATTTATCACATAGAATGTCTTGTTTATTTTCCTTTTCGGATCATAAAATCAGAAGTTGTGATGAAAAGTTTTCTGTGTCACAATCTCATTTTATTTTTCTGTTCTGTCACGTGCAGGTGCATCAACGGTCAGCTGAGCGTCTTCTGGACTTGTGTTGTGCCAACCGGGGGACTTTCATCAAAGTGGGTCAGCACCTTGGTGCTTTGGACTACCTGCTGCCTGAAGAGTACACATCCACGCTGAAGGTGCTCCACAGCCGAGCTCCTCAGAGCAGCATGGAAGAAATCCAGCAGGTCATCAGAGAAGATCTGGGAAAGGAGGTGAGACCTTATCGTGTTTCCATCAAGGACGGTTTCGTCATGTATTTCTGTGTTTCTTGTTAGGAAAAAAAAAAGTCCTCACTTGTTCAAAATAGTTTCAAAATTCACCTGACAGTGTTTGTTTTTGATAGTTAATCAATATAACAAAGAGTGGAAAACACTTATATGAACTTTAACTCAACTCCAAAAGCATAAAGTTATTCTTAATTTGACCAAAAGGCTAAAACATGAAAAATTTTCAGGATAACATTTTTTTTTTTGTTTAAAATTATGACACGAAATGTAGTGGGCAATATGTCTTCCTTCGTTTCGTTTAATGTCATTTTACTCAATTATGATAAATATTTTGGTGAATATTTGGATTGCTGTGACATATCCTACAGAAACTTCTTATGACAGAAGAGTTTAGAGTAATAAAATTAAAGTTATAATGTAATATTAAGATCTACAAGAAAGTGTATGCATGATCTGCTAGTAAAAACTCTCCCCAATTATTCAAAGTAATAGTATACTACAGGTAAGATACTGACTGCTTAGAACTACCACACATAAACTCACTTTACCAACCTAAACTATCAATTCAAAGTGTAGAGCGTGCACTTTTTTCTGCATTTTCACTTTGAAAGAAACAAAAGTGCATATAACACAGAAAGCTCTGTAAGCAGTTGCTGTTGGCACAAAGTGCAGTGTTCGCTCCCAAACTAGTTGTTTTGACGTCCTTTTAGGGCCCGCAGGAGGGGAAGTAGTTACTGTTTTCAGATCCGCTGATCCACCTTTGACACACACTCCCCTCTGGTGTGTGTTAAAGAAATATAGCTGAAGTACATTAAACTAACAAAGTCAAAAATTATGTTCTCCTCGTGATTTCTGTCCTGTTGCTGAATTTTAGATACATTAAATATATACAAAAACAAAATCTGCATTTCTAGTTGCCATGGTGATCACCACCTTTCTTTTCTGGAGAGACTAGAATGAAATGTTGAACTGTGAGTGGCAGAAACATTCAGAGGCGAAATGTGTGCATTTTTAGTTCTCTGCATTGTTTTATGTAGTACATATGACTGATTAAAGACAGAAAATCTGAGCTGAGATATATTGGGGAGTCAATGAGTGTTTGGATGTGGGCACTCTGCACCCTGAGGGGATGAGTGAATTTTTGGCATCTATTTATTTTTCATTATAATATACCTTTTATACAGTGTGGTGCATATATTGACTGTGCCAATACTAACTGACTTGACGAGACATGTTTCAAATAAAGTAGAAGGAAGCAGCAGTAATAGGGCATGATAATAAAGGAATAGTCATAGGAAGCGTATAATTAACAGAAACATAGGATTTTTGAACCGCCCTTTCATTTTCACGTCACCACACCTGCAGCAGCTCTAACATTCGGCACGAACTGCACCGTTCTCTACAGCCCTCGAATAAAAACGACAAATTATAAGTTTGCTGTCATTTTTTTATCTGAACAGTTATTCAAAGTGCGCTCTTCTAATGCAAAGCCAGCATATAACGCTTCCTCTGTCGTCTTCATGTTTTTAAAAATAAGGGCTCATTGGGTTTGATTTCTCCTTTTTTTATGTGTGGGGCGGGCGTCATTATCCCTGAAAAGGCGGTAATACGACCCTTGTCTGTAGAAAGCGGGCTGCAGGATGAATCAGCCCTCCTCTTTCTTTCCTTTTTTTAAATTTTGTTTTGGAGTGGCTGGAAAAGAATCAACGCTGATGAGCTGTTCCAGGCGGCTCTGGAGTCAGAGGGGGCGTCACTCCAGCATCGTTTCCGTTTCACTGCACATGCCTCTTTTTTTTTTATTTTACAGCGTGGATGCTATCGTATAGAAGCAGTGAGGGGAGTGTAGTGTGTGGTGTCCTGCTGTTTTCAGCACCATTTGTGGTGACATATGCATTCCCACTGTGCGCAGATCTGGAGCGGAGTCCTGGCTGCCGTTTCTTCTCTACTGTGAATCGGCTGAAAAGGCCAGTCTGTGTGCAATATGTTGTTTAACCAAACGGAATCCAGGATGGATGTCACACTTGGCTGGTGCTGAGGCGTGACACCAGATAACATGAGCGCGTCATGGGTGTTTTGTTGGGTGGTGCATGTGAGGCGACATCTATGGGCACTGCGTTTCAGGAAGTGGAGGTGGTTCTCACAACTAACTACAGTCCACGATGAGCCATAAAGAAGCAGCCAAACATTCTGGAACCAGACATTCTCTGAATTATTATTTTAAACTTTTTTTTAAATGCTGAAATTGTTTGGCATCACTAATATTTCATACTTGGTTATAGTTATTTTATGTTTTTCAACACTAGTTGCAAATCATGGTTTTAGCACTCTGCTCGCACTGTAATTTTCTCTTCTTTTTGCACTCACTGGTTTGGTGAATGATAATTATCACAACATGACTTTTTTTTTGTACTAACATGATCAGACTGAGTTTAAATAAAATAAAATACAGTAGTCCCTCGTTTATTGTGGGGGTTACGCTCCGGACCCACCCGCAGTAAGTGAAATTCCGTGAAGTAGCAAAGTTTAGGGCTGTCGCGTTAAACAATAAATCAATTAATCGCACGATAAATGAAAATTATCAATCTCATTTTCATTTATCGGCTTTATCGTTTCTTCATGTCTCTTTCTACTGAAGACACTGGATGACAAAAGGTTCAACTCCGGAGCTCTTCACTGACTCCTCCCTTTCTCTTTTCTCTTTAAAATCCATTTTAACCATCCAAAATCATGTTTTTGGATGGTTAAAAGCAGCTAAGCTGAGAAGCTAAGCTAACAGGTTGACCTCGAGGGGGGAAAAAAACCCTCCGTCTTGTCGAAGATTCAAAATTCACGGTTGAAACTTGTGCCTTCGTGTAAAAAGTTGTTTTTCTCTGCAAAAAGAAGCTGAGAACTTGATTACTGATTTTTTAAATTAAAATCTTTGTGTGAAAAATGCTCTGCTAAAGAGCTGGGTGCAGACCTTTGGTTGGCTGGCGTGGGACCGTAGGTGGTCAATTGAGTCAAAGTCTGGGTGGCAAAAGTCCTCATGGGCTACGGAAACAGCTCCGGACCCTTCGGCGCACGTCTGCGCTTAGAAGTCCTCGTTGGTCGGCTACCAGCTCTCAAGATTCACTGATGAGTCTCGAGGTCAGGTTCTGCTCCGGTTCTGGTCTGGTTCGGTGAGTTCAGTGCGACTTCTCTGCACCGATCAGAACAAAACTTTCCCTCTATTTCAGCAGAAGGAAATGGGGCTTCTGGGCAGGGCCTTGTTGCCTTCTGGGAAATGTGGTCGTTATGAGCAGGAATACAATGTAGGCTTACTGAGAGAAAACTACACAATGGCGGCACCTATCCAAAGTTTTTTTTTTGTGTGTGTTAACATTTTACTTTACAGTACTGTATCCAGTACTGTCCCAATCATATGAGTAATATTAGTTGACAATCATGTGTCCTGTGCAATTTCATTTATTTTTATTTTTTTGGTTGTATAATATTAAGGACTGTACGTCCACAAAAACAACGATAGAGCGAGTACGCAAAAGTCAAACTGCGAAGTAGTGAGGGACAACTGTATTCCACATATATTAATACATATTAAAGGTATGGCATTGATTAACATAATGCATATCACCTGCAACCGTTTTGTACCCAAGTTTTCAACTAAGATTATCTTAACCATTTTGGTCAAACCTTAAAAACAACATTAAGCACGATCTCATGTAAGATGAGAGACTGCACAATGAGCAGACCTTGGAGTACATGTTGGGAATGATTTCAGCTACTACCGCACCAAATTTGAGTTCATAATCTGTCAAATTGACTGAGTTATAGAGATTTTTGTACATCTTAAGGTCAGTTGGACAGGGCAGCCATCTTGAACTGAGTTCACTTCAAAAGTTTATAGATGTCAACCCAAAGACAACTTTTTGAAAGTTTAATTCAAGTTTGTTGAAGATTTTTATTTTCTTAACGCTACAGACAAATGTACCCAAAACACAAAAACAGGCAAAAACATTATTTGTCCATCTTTCTTTTCCACGGTGGATGATTACAATAAGTGTGAGAGAAACTTTTTTTTTCATCTTATATTAGAAATATTGTAGGTCTGCTGATTTAAACTGCAGCATATTGCTGTTTCTAACCCAGAGACAGATGTGCAGCAGCTGTGAAAGAGCAGCTAAAGGCATTGCTACCTGTGGTGCTGGGACTAAAAGCAGCAACTCTCAGCAGAGCAGCTGATGAGGGTCATAAACCTCGGGCAGGGGGGGCAGGACAGTTGGACAAAACGGTGTGGGGGTGCAAATTAAAGTAGGAGTTCAAAGGTAAAAAATCATGTGGAAATGAGTCCATTGATGGGACGAGACGATTTAAACAGATGTAAAAACTTAACAGAAAAAGTTGTTACAGTAGACATTGAGAAAATTTACCTGATTTAAAAAAAACGGACTCCTGGGATGATAAACTGGTTAAATCCCCAAATAGTCATAGCAGATATTACCTTATCGTGAATCAAATAACAGTCAATGTTTTAAATGTGCTCTGCAAATAAATGTGACTTGACTTGACAAATGAAATAATGCAATAGTGAATGACACTTCTAAGCTAAATACAGGAATATATGTAATATATATTTAATGCAAAATAAAATACGGGCTTTTGTAAAGTCTATTTTTGAGTCACTTCAATTTCACACAAAAACAAATATAGTTTTATACTGGAAGCTGCTAGAAACTTAAAAATTGTGCAGAACCAAATGATTTTTAGCACCCTCCACCAAAGGGGAAAAGGCCTTATGTTTTTGTTTTCTTTGTTGAATTAGCAAACCATTTTATGAACCACTGCACAGATTTTTGTGAAATTTTCAGTTTAACAATGGATATCCATCTGAAACGGAGTGAATTTAGTTCAAGCTAGCTTATTAATCAGCCTATAGATAAAAAAAAAGCTTGACCTTGGTAAATTTTACAGATATTGAGCTAACATCTGGGCTGGTAGTAGCTGAGTTA